TATATATATATAGGAAATTACAAGAACACACTTACACAACATTCGTGGGTTGCCTCCCACGCAGCGCCTGATTTAACATCGCGGCACGACGCAGGCTTGATTATCACTAACGACCGCTTTGTCTTTTAGAAGGCATAGTTGGGCGTGATCAAATTTTGGCGTCGTTGCCGGGGAACTAACCTATCTATTACAACTCTTGGCAATGTTATTAACAACTCAACTAATTTCTAGATGCAAGAATTTTGATCAATAAAGATTGGATTTTTGCTTAACTACTTCAAATAATATTAAACACAACAATAAGCTAAGCAAAGATAATTCAATGGTAAAAAGGTCTAGGGCAGTGATTTCCCCAATTGCTAGTTTAGGTCTTGACTCTTTCGCTATAATCTCGCCATAATACTCTATGAGGATTATGAGCTACGGGTTATCGTACTTATCTCTCGATCAACTACAATAATTTACTAGAGCACGTACTTATCTCTCGATCAACTACAATAATTTACTAGAGCATTCTCTCGAACTACTCTAGTTGACAATATTTGCAGCTCCAAATTAACCCACCAAAGTTTCGTTATCTCTAAACCCACTTTTAAGTTCAGGTAATGAATCTCTTCAATTACCCAAAAGTGGTGTTATTCAACAGCAATCCAACCTAACATTCTTTCTCAAGCAATATAAGGTAAATAGACACGATTAATCAAGGGCCCATTCAATTAATCACCATACAAAACGTAGTTGAACAATCATAGATAATTCCAGCTCGATTATAACAAATTGAGTCAAAATTTCAACCAACAATTGGTTCCATCCACCCTAGATAATTATTTAGCTACTCATAACAAAATAGGACACAACTACAAGATTGTTCATAATGAATACTTGCAAGAATTAAAAGGAGATAGAAGAAAACTCTAATGTTTGGTTGATCTTCTCTTCTTCTCCCACTTGTTCTTCCTCCAAGTAGTCTTCAAAACCCAGCTTGGGGCAATATTGGGCGACTTTCTAAAGCTTATAAGGGTTTTTACAAAAGTTTCCACGAAATTGCCTTTGGTCCCCAGATTTTCTGGAGTGTGAACAGTCCACCGCGGTCGCGGTGGATCGCGGTTGACCGCGGTGAGGGCTACTCATTCTGTCTCACTTTTTAATCCAGCGCGGTTGCGCCGCGGTCCACCGCGATCGCGGTGGAATTTTTGCCCAGGCCATTTTCTGCTCCTTTGTGCTCGGGTACTTCTCGAGTGGGCGTTTTCTTCACATTATCGCCTCCAAAACACTCTGTGTTGCTTCCTCATATATAATATTCCCTGCGAAACAAAAGAACACTATTTAGAGCATTTTGTTGGGAATTTACCTATAAAACAACAACAAAGTATGGTCATATTAAGGTGTAAATATCAACTATATAGCCTACTATCATTGTCCACTATAATAAACATACATTATTTCTTTTTCTTATCCAATTTAGCAAATCATGAGAAAATCAAATTTCTTTTCCTGTTTTACCCTTCATTGACTACTCATTCTGTAAATTATTTTTCAAGACTTCTTAAAATACTGTCATTATTATGGTTATTACAGTAATATGTATTTCATTTATTATTTCTCAAGGGGTGTGTAAAGTCCATTATGGGCAAGTAAAAGTGAAAGGAGGGAAAGAAAAGGGCAGCCCGGTGCACTAAGCTACTGCTATGCGGGTTCCAGGGAAAGGCCGAACCATAGGGGTTTAGTAAATTTGCATAGGCAATTATAAAAATAGTTAGACAAATATAGAGTGAGCTCCCATAACTAAACTTTTTTTTCCTCTTCTTTCGGATTTTTTATCGGCGAGCACCCATCACTTTAAAATTCTGGATCCGTCACTGAGTGTACGCCTTGTATTTCTGCAAGAGGTTGTTTCCACGTCCCGTGACCTCCTTAGTCACATGTGAAAGGAGGGAGTACTGCACTATTTTTAGGCACAAAGGGAAAAAGAACAAGCAGCCGTAAATTCAGGGTAGGGAATTTAATGAATTTAGAAAATATATGATATGATATTATCTAAATTAATGTCACAACTAAATTAAAGGAGCCAAGCAAAGAAGCAACAACGTCCTCAAAGTGAGACCAACTTAGAGCATTTATCGGAGGAATTTTCTTTATTTGCTAAAAAATGGCAAGGAAGAAGAATTCATGCAAAGAGAGAGCTCTTACCCCTTTGAGGTCAATCCCCTCCAATATATTCTGGGTGGGAGCTAAAAAATGCTTTAAATTTGTGAAATCTAAAACTCTCTTTTAGCCCAAGGTAATAAAAAAAAGGTTGATTGAGGGGCATGCTAAAATGGCCATGACTACGATTGGTTTAGTCCTCATCCTTGTGTTGTATTCAACTTTGGTTATTACGTGCAATGCAGCTGTAGTTGGTGGCCTTCTTCCTCAACCTGTAGGCGGCAATAATATTGCTGATCAGACCATTTTTAACGTCTTGAATTTTGGTGCCAAACCTAACTCACCACTTATAAGTACACAGGTAATTAATTAACGTCATCTTGCTTTCTTCAAATATTTAAGCAAATTTATTACCAAGCTAGGAAAATCCAAAGGAAATTTTGGTTGTAAATATTTTAAAATTTTCTAGAAAGGAATGCATGAAAGTATACAATTCAATCATTTATCCTGTAGCCTTTTAATGATTTTCCCTCTCTTGCTATTAACATTGGTTGGGGCCTTACATTCTATAATATGGATTGAGTGACGAACTCTTTGATGCAAATCACATGTGACGAGGCAAATATATAGTTGCTTTAGCTCTGAAGAAAAGGGGAATATCGATTACGGGGTGTGACAAAACTCAACAATTTTGTCCAAATTATGTAATATGTATAAACTATCTATTATGATAATCTAACAAGTTGTCATGTCTTAGAATTTAAAACTCATTAACTTAAAATTCTTGATCCGCCGTAGAATTTAAAACTCACTAACTTAAAATTCCTGATCCGCCACTATAGAGAAATGATTTATGTTCCGCTATATTAAATACTTTTTGTTAAATATCCAACAAATGCGTATACTTCCCATTATATTGTTCTTTAACCAAAAAACAGTTAAAATCTAACACATATAGGTTATGGAAAATAGGTTAAACCTTTCTGGGGGTGAACTCATTAGTAATGAAATGTGTTGGAGATATCCGTACCTCGGCATGAATGAAAATTTTCTTTTTGTTTATTATTTCTTAGCTATACTTGTAATTTTGCTTTTGAACAACTCAGGCATTTATGAGGGCATGGCGAGCAGCTTGTGATTTCAATGGGAGTGCAAGACTTTTTGTACCACCTGGAGTATATACACTAGCAGAGACCATATTTTCAGGACCATGCAAAGGAACACATCCTATAATTGTTCAAATTGCAGGAACCTTAAAAGCAGTGGCTGATGTTTCTGAATATTCAAACTTTGCTTGGATTTCATTTGATTCAATTAATGGCATTATTATCACTGGTGGAGGCACTTTAGATGCTCAAGGTCAAGCTCTTTGGCAGTTTAATGACTGTAAAACCAATCCTAATTGTGTCCACCTCCCTGCTGTAAGTTCCTCATTTCATATTCATATGTTGCCTTTTACTTGTCATTTTCGTCTTTTGCACACAACAATAACAACAACAATGAATCAGTAAAATCCCACAAGTAAAATTCGTTTTCTACTCAAGAAAACGGAGAAGACGAGAAAAGACAATATATCAGTACCGTCAACAGAAATAATAACAGCATCACACAAACCAGAAAATATATGACATGAAATAACAATAACCATTAATTAAGGTCCGGTGCTATGAAAAACAGAAAGATAGTGTGTACACAATATTAACCACTAGCCGTCTGAGATCAACCCTATCAAACTAGCCTCACCCCCGGTTCGAAGTAGAAAAAAGCTAGACTACCTCTTAGCCTACAACCATAATGCTCGACTTCCACACTTTAATCTCAATTTATTACTATTCTTGCTTTCACTATATTACTGTCTCTCCACAGTTATTAGAATAAGATAAAGGTTGGAAAAAATTAATTAATTCTTTCTTGATTTTTTAAAAATGACAAAAACTCTGGAATAATTATTTTTAGTAACCATAACAACTAAGCGGGAACGGAAGGAATATTTCTCTATCCTTTCTTTTTAGAATTAATCTCTCTTTTGGGATGGGTGGATTCGTGAATAGAGGCGGGAAAAAGTACCAAAAAAAGAGGGCCTTACGATGACGGAATATTGTAATACCTTTTGAAATTTGGGGGATATTAAAACATTTCTATACTTGGTATGGAAAATATTGGATTCAGTTGAAATCAATATATATTATGCTCTATTCACTTTTGCACGTGAGTGATGTTTTTATTAGACTGCAACTCCAATATCTTTTTATTATTATCAAGTTCATTTTCGGTTTCCTTTTTATTTTATCTTTGATTATTGAAACTTTTGGCATGTTTTCTTCTATTTTGTAGACCTTATTCTTCAATGGTGTAGAGAACGGAAAAGTAATGAGGCTGAATTTGATAAATAGCATGGGATTTCATATACATATTACTAATAGCTATTTAGTAAGGTTCCATGCCCTTACCATTGATGCTCCAGAAAACAGCCCAAATACTGATGGCATACACATAAGCAAATCTAACACTATAAAACTCTCCAGAAGTGTAATTAGAACAGGGGATGATTGTGTCTCATTTGGACAAGGAGCAAATAATGTGACCGTTAACAAAGTCACCTGTGGCCCTGGCCATGGCATTAGGTACACATATACTTATTCCAAAAATTAAGTATTTACGTTCTTTTTCTTGTATCCCACATAACTCGAACATTTAATACTCTTATTATGTATAATCTCATACGCTTTTATGTGTTTGTGCTAATTAAAAACACAGTGTCGGTAGTATTGGTAAGTTGCCTGGCGAATTGGAAATTAAAGGACTCATCGTGAAAAATTGCACGTTGAGGGGCACAACAAATGGTATCAGAATCAAAACTTTTGCAGGAGAGAATCCTAACAGAGCAATAGGGATGATGTTCAGCGATATTGTGATGGAAAACGTTAAAAATCCGATCATCATAGACCAGAGTTATGGTGACAAATCAACCGAGGTCCGTACGTACGTCTTAATTAAATTTCATAAGATGTTGAATTTTCGTTTTAGTAGCATTTGAGTAGTGATTGACGACTATGATTCACGGTTTTATATGGTGCAGCCATCACAAGTAAGAATAAGTGATGTAATTTACCAGAACATAAGGGGAACAACAACAAGTGAAGTAGCAGTGCAATTGATGTGCAGTGCACGACTCCCTTGCCTAAATGTTCGACTTACCAACATAAATTTGAAGCATATAGCAAATACGCCAATTACTTCTCAATGTCAAAATGCAAATGTTGGCTATACTGGCATCCAATTACCACCTCCTTGCCATGGACCCTCTTCATAGTATTTCTCCTTTTTGGAGTAAAAGAAACAAAGGAGAAAATGCAAATGTCTAATCTCAATTCCACCGTACGTCCAAAAGAAAGAACAACTGTGATCAAAGAGAAAAGGAAAAAGAAATGGTGTCATACATATAAAAAAAATTATACCCTGGCACAAGCACGACTTACAGTTTAGTGGTATCGATAGAAGTTTTTTACATAGCAAAAGTGAGTTCAATTCTCACTGTTCTTTTTCTCTCTTTCTCGTGCTGATAGAATTAAATCTTCTGCACTATAAGTGTAAGTTTAATTCTCGTTATTCTCGATCCCTCTCCCCCTTTCCTATACCCAAATGTACTAGAACTAAAAAAAAAAAAAAAAAAAATTACCCTCACATCTTCTATGTACCCCTCCTCACAAAGGAAAAAATAGATTTTTTTTATAAATTTCTTTTTTAAGTTTGTAACGTATTTTAGTAGTAGGAGTAGGCTTTAGCTGACCTTAATGAATTTGTGCTAACGAATATTTGCATTAGTTTCTGTTTTTCATTCTTAATTTGTTTCTTAGCGTGATATGTCACTCTGACGTGAATGAAAAAAATTAATCTGGTCAAAACCAAATTAAATATACGAAAAGGGTTCAAAATGCCCCTAAACTATAAAGGTTTAAAAATATCTTACATCCACCTATTGGGCTAAAAATACCCCTTCATCTATCTTTTTGGTTCACTTATGCCCTTTGACCTTTAGGTCAATGCTGAATTAAAAATAATTATTATTCTTTTTGCAAAACTTAAAAAAAATATTTTACAAGATATTTTAGCTTTTTTAAACTAATGCACCAGTAGTCCACTAATTTAGTAAAGTCTTCTTCTTCTTTTTTTGTCAGGTTTTACAAAAAGATATTTTGTTTTCATTTTTTCAGTTTTTTTAAAGCATTTTTTTATAAAAACTGGAAAAATATTGTAAAAACATAAAAAAAATGTTTTTAATAAAATATTTTTCGTTTTTTAAAGACTGAAAAAGTATTTGAAAAATATTTTTTTTTTCATTTTTCAGTTTTTTTTAAAAATCAAAATATTTTTTCTTTAAAAAGAAACTGAAAAACGAAATGATTTAAAAACTGAACAAAAAATATTTTTCAAAAATATTTTGTTGAAAATATCTTTTCCGTTTTAAAATAACGAAAATATTTTATTAAAAATATTTTTTTTCTTAGTTTTTACAAAAAAAAAAATGCTTTAAAATTGAAAAAAAAATGTTTTTAATAAAATATATTCGTTTTTTTAAAACTGAAAAAAAATAAACAAAATATTTTCGTTTTTGAATTTTCTTTTTCATTTTTTTTAAAAAATCGAAAATATTTTTTCTTTAAAAAAAAACTGAAAAAAGAAATGCTTTAAAAAAGCTGAAAAAACTGAAAAAATATATTTTCAAAAAATGAATATATTTTTTAAGTTTTTAAAAAACGAAAATATTTTATTAAAAACATTTTTTTCAGTTTTTTCAAAAAAAATGCTTTAAAAAACTGAAAAAAATAAAAAAACTATTTTTTTGTAAAAACTGAAAAAAAATAAAATAAGAAGACTTTACTAAATTAGTGGACTACTGGTGCATTAGTTTAAAAAAACAAAAATATTTTGCAAAATATTTTTTCTTTAAGTTTTACAAAAGAATAATAATTATTTTTAATTTAGCATTGACCTAATAGTCAAAGGGCATAAATGGACCAAAAAAGTGGATGGAGGGGTATTTTTAGCCCGATAGGTGGATGAAGGGTATTCTTAAACCTTTTCCAATAGTTTAGGGGCATTTTGAACCCTTTTCCGTTAAATATAGGGTGTCGAATTTACAAAATATCATATACTGGTATAAATATTAGACTTTCCATTGGAATAACTATTTATGCTAGTAAAACTTAGTTTTTTTTTCACAAGAGAAAAACAACTTCGCATAAAGTCCTCCAATGATTCAAAGCTTGTTTATAGAGTGAATTCATATGTTAAAGGAACAAAATTCTATTGCACATTGATAAGGAATAGAGTAAAATTCACTGCTTATATAGAGAAGTAAGTGAAAATTTGTTACAGTCACTGATTTTAAAATAAATCTTAGTAGAAGGACAATGTCAATTACAACGGATTCACTCTCTTATTTGAGCTTTTCTTCACTCATTAATTCTCTGGCTTGGAAATATATCATTTTCAGACCAAATATAAGCAAGTTAAAAAAATTATTGTACTAATAATCAAAAGCAACTAACTATTAAAGAATTCCCAATCAGAACTCCTAGTTTACTTAGGCTAGACTTATATATTTGTCTACTAGCACATTGTTTTCAGTATGTCAATTTTTTTTTTGGACAATTTACACTCTTTTTGGATCATTGTTCCCCGTAGTTTTATAATGTATTGTATTGTATCATATCGTTTTATAAATACAATATTTGGATAGATTGTATTGTTTGTTATTGCTAAATAATATTTGGTTGTTTAGTTTGACTGTATCGTACTGTAATGTAATTGATTGACTAAAATACTCTCAATTGTTCAAATATTAAATTTATTAAAAATTATGCATAAAAATAATTTAAAAAAACAAAACAGAAGAAGGCAAAACACCTTAAGAAAGCAGAACAAAGGAGCGAGACAGAAGAAGGCAAAACAAAAGATCACAACTAATTAGAATTGAGTTAAAATTAGGAGAAAAATAAAACAGAAGGCATTAAAACACCTTTAACGTTGGTGGAAGAAGTTCTGGAAAAAAAAATAAAGTAGGTTATAGGTTGGAGATTTGGAGTTAAAATAGGAGAAAAAAAAAAAGGCAAAGGGTAAAATACAATTGTGAAGTAATAAGTTAGGGCATAATTGAAAAGAATAATAGGAAACAATCTCACCACACCAAATCGGCTGTTTCAAAAAAGGGGACTTTTCATTGCTCCGGTACAATAGATTTAACAATACAATACAACCAATTTTAGTGAAACAATCAAAACAAACATTGTTTTGAGATAACAATATAATACAATACAACGGGGAACAACCATCATGTTTGAGCAAATAATTGCTAAACCAATTAATGTTAAGTCTGATGGGGTGAATCTTAGTTGTATCTAATAAATTCTAGATCAAACGAAACAAAACCCTTGTATAATGGATAAATTCTAGGAACAATAAACAGCGGAATTAATTTGCTATGATTGATAGTGCATGTAATAGCATAAATGCATAATAAATGTAAATGCGGACAAAGATAATAGGGGGAAAGGAACTATCACCCAATGATTATATGATTGGGAGGTTCCTTTCTTCTGAAGATCACGTGGGAAGGAGAACAATTGGAATATATGTGGAATCTCGAGATTTATGGATAGAGATTGAACAACATGTGCTTGAATAAATGAATAAGACAACTCTCATATATATTCTTCTTTCAAATTTTACAATATGTTCTAGTTCTAAAAAGGCAGACCCTCTTTTTGTTCTCTATCTCTTCCTATTTATAAGGGACATTCCCCAAAAAACCCTAAAAAGTACAACATAAAGAATATCCAAAGGAATATTCTTTATGCCTACTTCTGAATTAAAGTTACCGTTACTATCCTATCTCAGCTGCCCGCTTCTAGTGTCGGCCTTTATGAGGACGACCTTCAGGCGTTATGTCATGGTCGACCCCGTCTTTTGTCTTGCTTATCCGTTACCATGGTTACCAAATTTGGACCTATACAGTTAGTCCCTCCGCTTGTTGAGGTCGTAGCCCCGCACGTCCTCGATAAGCGGACATCATTCGTTTTTGTCGTGGGAGAATTTTGCCATTAGATCACGCTGGGTCGACTAAGATCGAGAGAATGACACGACCTGCGGAATCCTGATTGGTATGGTTGTCGAGATGTGACGTCATTGCCACGCGCGTCATCATTACGAATCTTTCCGAGACAGCGTCAGTCTGCTTGTCGCTTTGGTTTTAGTGCCATTGACAATCCTTTGCTTCGATTCTTGCGCCACCCAGCCCTATAAATAGGTGAGGGTTTCGTTTTTTTAAGAAATTTTCGCCACTTCCTCCCTTGTATGTACATTATTTTCCTTCGATCATCTTTATCAGTTCTTGTTATCAGCTCCATTTCTGCGATTTCATTTCTCAGCTTCCTGGTTAGTCACCGTCTCTCTCTTCAGGTTTAATAGCACACCTTCTGTTATCGAGATGTCCCGAACTCTTCGCATACATGACGAAGTTTCCGACGCCACTCTGTTGTCAGTGGCCCTTCCTTTCCGGTGGTGTGGATTTTGTGGTTGAGGAGGGTGAGAGTTTTCCTACCGTAGAAGAGATACTCCCCTAAAACCCTTTATCTAGGAACGATTTCCAAAAGGAACTTGCTCCTTCTCCCGTTCCGGTGATCTCTGAAACCGGGCTGTCTCACATAGATGAACTCCGGTCTACATACCATACTCCTTCTCACGTCAAGATGGTTCCAGCTGGGGGGGGGGGGGACATCGTAGAGGTCCATAGACCTGGATACTGCGCTTTTTACATTTATCCTTTCGTAATTGGTCATACCCTCCCTCTTCTTCCGCTGGCGGAGGAGTTCTGTCGGTTTTACGACATTTGTCCGGCACAGCTGTCTCCGTACTTAAATAAAATTTTCCTGATGCTGACAAAGTACGCGAAGTTGGCTGGGTGTGAGGTCGACATCCGCCACCTGTTACATATGTTTTCCCCAAGCTTTCACAGAGGTACCATGATACATCTGCGACATCGCGGGACCAGGGAGCTGGTAGTTGGAATGGACAACAGGGCGAGCCGGAAGATTTGGCACAAGTAACTTTTTATCAAAATGGAGCACTTGGTGTCGGACCCTGCTGGATTTCTTGAGCAGTGGAATCATAACCATAGGTGTCGATGACGTACGCTTGTTATCTACTTTCCTTCTTTCTGATTTCTGTTCATCTATGATTTTTCCGTGCAGCTGACCTTTTTCCCGTCATCGGCATGAGGATTGGGTGGCTCGCGTGCTACCTTACATGGTGGGTATCCAAGATTGGGTCATTTTCTACAAACGCTTTGGACCGAAGGTTCCGTCTAGTAAGTGTTATTTTTGTTTCGACCTTCGGCTGTTTGCTGTCGTTTATTGATACGACCTCTTTGTGATGACAGGCTGACGAGCTTCCAAAAAGAAAGCTCCAGTACCGGCATTCTGCCAGGCCATTGCATCGGCGGGATGCAATTTACTTTGGCCGAGTCCGCCTGTGGAGGTCGCACTCAGACTTTGTCAACAAGGGACCCTCCTCGGGATGTCTCTGTACGGGACGAGATCTCATCTAGGCCTACCTACCACCTCGTAGATGAGTCTTCCAACGGAGAGGTGTCGCCGTCGAGAAAGAGGAGAAGGGTGGAGCTCGGGAAGGCCGTCGCCACCGGCGTTGAAAAGAAGAAAGTCGTCGAGGGGATGGAGCAGTGCTCGCAGAGGGCGATGGTTCAGGCTCAGATATTGACCCTAAATATGCGCGGGCCTTTTTGGAGAGAAATA